AAAGAAGAGGCTTCCAACTGTGATAGGCATGTAGCGGCTTAGCGACAACGTCCTATAAATACTGCAACACCTGGGCAATATACTAACTTTATCTGACTGTGTCTCTGATTGTGGATTGGAATGAGGATCCGAAACGTCAGGCCAATAACGTTCCTGTTCCAGCGATATATGACATTATTGTCAGGAGGCCTCGGTGCGATTCAAACCCACAACAAATGGGGAAAATCTTGCGTACAGTCAACTATTTAACCGTCCGAGCTACGAGACCAAGATCGGGAGCCATGGGCTTACTCATATGTGGACTAAGTTACTTGCTCGACTTCGACTCGACAGTTCGACCGTCGATTTCGACGATGTCCACCGTGTGCCCCACAGCTACAGCAGCAATGGGAGCAGAGACGGTGACTTGCGCAGGGGTTTATAGTGCCAGTAGACTTGCGCTGCATCTACCTACACTCTCTCCTCCTCCCCCGCCTGGGCCCGGTGTCAAGACAGAGTCAAGAAGACCGGAGACGAGGGAGGCCGCAGGTGGATGGCTCGGACGGATCCCCACCTTGGCGTTCCACCACACCCCCTGGTCCACACAACAATAACCAGGATTTCAACCAACACAACAGAGATTTGGAGGCTGGCACGGCCGAAGCCGCACCTGGGCGTGCCGCCAACGCCTGGCTCGGATCCCACACTGTGGTGGGAATGCCATAAAGGCCACATTAAAAAGGAGCCATTACAGCCTGACTCTCAGACCGCCTCCCGTTAAGGAGGAGGTCCAAGGTACCCCGTCAGTTGGCAGCCTTCCAAGCCACGGCTTTTAGCGCACCGTGATAGCTTCAAGCGCGTCAGATTGATTATAGTGAGGAAAATGCGCTGAGTCGTCGACCTCACTCTCCCTTCCCATTCCCACACCCCAGCCACTGTCCGAGTAGGTCAGTAGACTGGAGTGGGGAATGGGCGCGGTGGCTGACATGGTCGGCTGACCATGCCTGCGCGCGCCACAGCACGACCTGGCCCCCCATGGACACACAAACACCAGGATTTCACACAACGGGGGTTGAACGGCGTGTCTCTCACTTGCGTGAGAGTGCCGTGGAAGGTGCTGTTGCAGCCCGTCCCCAGCCCACCAGTCCGCCACTCCACACAACACACACACAACGTGACGAACTGCGTGAGCCAAGAGCGGGCCTCAATCAGCAACCTTCCTATCCACGACGCTTGACGTGTCGGGATAGTCTCGGACACAAGTCACCCGTGCAGCCGAAGCCGCATGGGGACCGACTCGAGATGCACACTTCCCACTTGCGTGGGAGGCGGCAGTTGAGTGCATGAGGTGTGTGAGGGTTGATGTCTGGCGGGGTGATGGTGTTAGGAGGTAGGGAGTGAGGGAATGCGTGGTGTGACCGGCGGTTGTCTACCGCAGGTCGTCGTGGATGCGCATGTGGCCGAATAGACCCATGCGATGCGTGAAGGTGCGAGGGCAGTGTGGGCAGTGAAGGCGAGTGCGGTGGGTGTAGGTTGGTGCTCCAGGCACTGGTTCGCCAGTCTCTGTGCGATGGATTCGCAAGTGACCGACCAGGCCGATGCGTGAAATGAAGGTGCGATCGCAGTGAGGGCAGATGTAGTCCTGGCCCTCACGTCTGATGATGGAGGTTGCAGGGGTTGTGCCTGTTGTTGTGTCAGGTGTGGCTGTGGTGAGGTCGTGGGCGACAGACGCCGAAGCGGCCGTCGATGAGGCAGTGATGGAGAAAGAGGAGGAGGAAGGGGAGGAGTGAGGGGTGGTAAGGTCGGTGGCGTCGATTTCGGCTGGGGAGTGGTTAGTGGATGCACAAGGTGGTGGATTGGGAGTGGGGCTCGGCGGGGTGGGTGTGTCAAGGCTGCGGTCAATTCCGTTCTCGTGGATGCGCATGTGGCCGAATAGACCCATGCGATGAGTGAAGGTGCGAGGCCAGTGTGGGCAGTGGAGGCGAGTGCGGTGGGTGTAGGTTGGTGCTCCAGGCACTGGTTCGCCAGTCTCTGTGCGATGGATTCGCAAGTGACCGACCAGGCCGATGCGTGAGGTGAAGGTGCGGTCGCAGTGAGGGCAGGTGTAGTCCTGATCCTCATCACTGGAATCGGGAGAGGTGGGGGTGGTTGTGGTTGTTGTGTCGTGGTTGGAGATGTGTGAGACGGCAGCCTGAACGACCTCCGCTGGGGCGGTGAAGGAGAAGGAGGAGGATGGAAGTGGTGGTGCAGAAGGAGTGTCAGAGTTAGTTGGCGGCAAACAGGACGAGGAAACAGCGGGCTGAGGGACGATGGCTGGAGCAGTTCGAGAGGTGCAGTTGGTTCGAAGATGTCCAACAAGTCCGATTCGTGCCCGGAATGTCCGTTGACATCGAGGACATGTAGGGAGAGGTTGTGCGGCGGCGTTGCGTATTGGGCGAAGTTGTGATTTGCGGGCTTCGCGTTTCACTTTGGCGGCGGCGATGCGGTTGGCTTCGTAGATAGCAGCGCCCATCTTCACTGTTCTCCTCCATGTCGGACGATCGCGGGCGAGCTCTTCCCAGTTGGTCGGGTTGATTAGTAGGAGCTTCAGGGAGGACTTTACGGTATCCTTGTAACGGCGAATTTGGCCTCCTTGACGACGAGAACCCGTCGCGACGTCTCCGTAGAAGAGTCGTTTGGGTAGTCGCTCATCGTCCATGCGCACCAGATGGCCGCTCCAGCGCAGCTGTATTTGTCTCAACATGGAGTAGATGTTCAGAATTCCCGTCCGTTCCAGCACTTCGGTGTCGGGGATACGGTCCTGCCAGTTCAGCCTCAGGATGCGGCGGAGACAGCTGAGGTGGAAGTGGTTTAGTCGACGTGCCTGCCTCGTGTACACCGTCCAGGTCTCCGCTCCGTACAGTAGCGTCGGCAGGATGACGGCCTTGTACATCTTCAGCTTTGTGCTCAGTTGGAGACCATGACGATTCCAAACTGTGCTTTGGAGGCGACCGAAGGCTTGACTGGCTTTCGAGATCCTGTTGGCGACTTCGTCGTCGATCTTGGTGTTGCGGGAGAGGGTACTGCCCAGGTACGGGAAGTTCTCTACGACTTGCAGTTGAGTCCCATTCACGTTGATTAGCGGCGCGTTGGGGTCTGTGGCTGAGTTGGGAGGCGGCTGATGCATCACCACCGTCTTCTGCGTGTTGATAACCAGCCCAAAGTTCTCGCAGGCGGCGGAGAATAGGTCCATGCTCCGTTGCATCTCCTCTTCCGAGGTGGTGTTCAGGGCGCAGTCGTCGGCGAAGAGGAGTTCGTGCACGGTGGCTGTGGATACACGCGATTGGAAGTTCATGCGCCGGTGATTCAGGAGATGACCGTCCGTTCTATAGGCGATGCGGATTCCAGGGCGTTCGTCGCGGTAGGCGTCCATCAGCATGGCAGAGAACATGAGACTGAAGAGGGTAGGCGCCAGCACACAGCCCTGCTTCACTCCGTTGGTCACTGCGAATGCCTCTGAGACAGCTCCGTTGTCCGTGACTCGCGCCATCATACCGTCGTGCAGCTGACGCACCATCTGAGTGAATCGCTCCGGACAACCGAATTTCTGCATGATCTTCCACAGTCCTGCACGATTCACCGTGTCGAAGGCTTTCGTCAGGTCCACGAAGGTAGAGTACAGGTGGGTCCGCATCTCCTGACACTTCTCCTGAAGTTGGCGGGCTGCGAAGATTATATCCGTGGTCCCACGATGACGACGGAAGCCGCATTGGCTTTCCGGCAGAAGGCCCCGTTCCAGATGGTTGTTGAGGCGGTTGAGCAGGATGCGAGCGAAGATCTTCCCGGCGATGTTCAATAGGGAGATGCCGCGGTGATTGTCGCAGACTTGGCGATTCCCTTTTCGCTTGTATAGGCGCACGATAGTTGCGTCCTTGAAATCTTGCGGGACTTCACCTTGACGCCACATCTCCTGGAAGAGCGCAGTCAGGTGATCCATCAGTAGGGGAGCTCCGTGCTTGTAGACCTCAGCAGGGATGGCGTCCGATCCGGGTGCTTTCCCGCTGGAGAGTTGCTGCACGGCCCTGATGGTCTCCTGGAGAGATGGCGGGAGGTCGAGGTCCACGTTGGTCTCCACTTGCGGCATGCGGGCGATGGCGGCGTCGGAGATGACGGAAGGGCGGTTGAGGACGCCTCGGAAGTGCTTGGCACATCGCTGTAGGATTTGCGTCTTCTCAGTCAGAAGAGTGCTGCCGTCGGCGCTGAGGAGAGGAGCAGTGCCCTTCGTCGGCGGACCGTAGACAGATTTGATCGCAGAGAAGAAGTTCTTCCATTCGTTGCGGTCCGCGTACCCTTGGATCTCCTCAGCTTTGCGAGCAGTCCAGGCGTCCTGCATCTCGCACAGTCGTTGCTGAAGCTGTCGGCGACTGCGGTAGAAGGCAGCTTTGGCAGCTTTTCTCGACTTCTGAAACGTACACATACATATATACGTATGTAATGCTAGAGGGACGCTCACCGATCGTTTCTACGGAGCTCACATGTTCTGTTGTGCTTAACGGGCTCTCTCTCGAGCCAAACCAGCAGCCGCACAGCACGCATGATATAGGCAGGATAGCATTACCGACAAAGACAAGGGAGATTGGAATGGCCATTTCTGGCTTAATAGTCGTCGTCAGGCAGTCATACCCAACTCTGAACTGTTGAACACCCAAGGCTCGAACTCGCGAAATGTTACTTAGAAGTCCACACCTCTAACCACTGGGCCACGAGCCCGTTGCCCTGTCGGTTTTCTATTGGGAATATACATTAGTAGAGGGCGCTCATCGATCGTTTTAAGGCACCGATCGTTCAGGCACAACGGAACGAGTGAGTTCCGTAAGAACGATCGGTGAGCGCACCTACCATTAGATATATATATATATATATATTATGATAGTGGGCGCTCACCGATCAGGTTGCGGAACATGCTCGTTCCGTTGTGCCTTGGGGCTCATACTTAAACCCTCGCAGGCAGTCGCACAGCGACTAGTAGTAGACATAGATGAGATGATACCGACAAAGACAAGGGAGACCGGAATGGCCATTTCTGGCTTATTAGCCGTCATCAGCCAGTCATACCCAACCCCAAGTGTGGATCACTTGAGATTCGAACCCGGGATCTTTGGTCATGGAGTTGAACGCTCTACCATTGAGCCACGGGCCCGTTGTCCTGTCGGTTGTGATCGGGAATATTAATTATGATAGTGGGCGCTCACCGATCAGGTTGCGGAACATGCTCGTTCCGTTGTGCCTTGGGGCTCATACTTAAACCCTCGCAGGCAGTCGCACAGCGACTAGTAGTAGACATAGATGAGATGGCTCAATGGTAGAGCGTTCAACTCCATGACCAAAGATCCCGGGTTCGAATCTCAAGTGATCCACACTTGGGGTTGGGTATGACTGGCTGATGACGGCTAATAAGCCAGAAATGGTCATTCCGGTCTCCCTTGTCTTTGTCGGTATCATCTCATATATATATATATATATATATATATATATATATATATCCTGTTCATCATCCCCAAAAGAAGACGAAGAAGAAAAAGAGGCGATGCCATGGACCACATTGTATTGGTGCTGACGTTTCGGAATCTTCCTCGATTCCATCATCAGAGTAGTGGTAGGGTGTTTGTTCCTGCTAGCTCAGAGTTGTTCTGTCTCGCCGCCTGTCTCGTGTTATAGGCATGCCTGATACACGAACTCTGACCTGCTTGCTGGCGGACGATTGGCTTAGGTCTCTCCGTGGCCGACCGCTGGGGCGCTGGTGTGACCTCTGCCCCCTGCCCGGCCGCTGTTGTCGCTGCTAGGTCCGTGTGCCCTTGGGCCCTCCCCCCATACTTTGACGGGCCGATCGGCTGCCGTTGCATGTGGGAATCGTGTTCGGCTGTTTGGGCGCTTCGGTGGGTCGATGTCTCGCGTCGGTCGTCTGACAGCCGGCTGGCTCTCTCCCCCTGCTGGGAAGGTGACAACTGTTGAGAGAGCCGCGATTTGTTCGTCAGTGTTGTCGGCCCCGTCCGAAATGACTGGAGCCTCGTACGAAGCGCCCGGCAGGCCGGATGAAGATCAATGGCTCTGTTGATTGTGTCAACTGAGGACCAACTTTCGAGAACCAGCCTGGCCATCTTGTCGCTGGCTCGGCCGATGAGGCTTGCCTCCCCAAAGGCGAAACTGTGCTTCTCCTGTTGTATGTGGCCATATACCAATGACAGCTTATCCTCGCGGTTGACTGCAAGCTGGTGCTCGTGCAATCTTGTGCAGAGGCGTTTGCCCGTTTCACCAACATACCTTGCACTGCAATCTTGGCAAGGTATGCTGTAGACTACTGCTGATTGTTCCGTTGCAGGTAGCTGGTCTTTGGGCCTCATTATCTGCTGCCTGATAGTGGATTCCGGTTTATGGGCCACCCCAATCCCAAAAGGGCTCAGGATTCTTGCTGTCGCCTCAGAAACGTTCCTCATGTAGGGGATTGCGAGCCAGAACTTTGGCTTCTCATCGGTAGATCGATCGCGGTTAAATCCTCTTCGACACTCCCGTATGAAGGATCGTGGGTAACCATTGGCTGTGAATAGGGAATGTAGGTACTTCATTTCCTCCCTCCTCCCGTCGTTGTCATTACAGTGTGTTTGAACTCGTTGGAAAAGAGCTCTGACACAACTGCGTTTGTGACCGATGGGGTGGTTATTCCGGAATTGGAGGATGCGTCTAGTATTCGTTGCCTTTCGGTATACCGTAGTTCTGATCCCCCCATTAGCTATCCTTGTGATGTTTACGTCAAGGAAGGGCAACTTGTTGTTGTCCTCCTCTTCCATTGTGAATTGGATGTCGGGGAATATTGAGTTCAACAAGACTTTGAAGTCCTGAACGTCGTTCCTCTTGATTACGACAAATGTGTCGTCGACGTATCTGGCCTAGAATTTTGGGGAGTACGAACGGAAGACCAGTCGCTCGAGCCTCTGTAGAATAGGTTCTTCGAAAAAAATCGGGTTGTACTGGTGAATTTTCGAGCTGGTGACACCAACCCGTCGTCAGACAAAATGAAGATAAGAGGAATGTGAGAAAGTCACCCTTAACTAGTTAACGAGAGTTGTAAGGAGTGATGCGGGCAGGGAGTCACGCTGAGTTCTGAGCCGAAAGGGGAGGAGGGGGGAGAGAACAGTTACGGCTCCCCCTGTTGAAGAGGGAGGGAGCATGGTAGGTGGGCGAGACTGCGGACGCCTGGATTAGCGACCACTAATGCGGCGTGGGGCTCGGCGTATTGGGACGTGATCTTAGGCCCTCATAATGGGCGTCTAGGTCAACGTAGCGGTTGATGCTTTCCGCATTAGAGTACCATAGCTCTAGGAATTCTCTCGCCCGTTTTCTGTTGGCCGTGGCCATGACTCACTGTCATCCCAATTGAATCGGTATTCGCACTGGAGCGCGTGTGCGAAGACGAGGGACAGTGGGTCACGGAGACAGACAGTTTGTGTTATTAATTCGAGTCCCCAGGGGTCGTCTTGTATGACCAGCATATATGCAGGGGCAATTGGCGCACGGGGTGCGATAGACGACAGGTTTGTGGGTAACGCGGATACCGAACTGATTTGGCTGACGGGTTATCACTTCTGAGGTCCCCTGCATATAGGGCAGGGCGAAGAGTTTCTGTGTCACGATCTGCCCATTTGTGGAGGAGACTGAGGTTGTGTCTGATGCCTGAGGCAGTTCTTCACAAAACTGATCGGATATCCGTTAGATCGAAACAACCGATACATTATATCTATTTTTTTCTCCAGGAGATCGTCATTGCTGCAATGATGGTAGGCCTGGTGGAAGAGAGTTCGGATGCGGCTTCCTTGTGAGTCGCAGGGTGATCGCTTCCATAATTGAGGCTGATCTCAGAGTCAGACCCTTTTCTATTGACGCTGGTCGCGGGACTACCATCGCCTAGCCTTTCTAATTTTACGTACAGAAACGACGGACTATCTCCTACGGCCTCTTTACGAGTAAATTTTTTGGCTGAGAAGACATTATTCAGCCTCTGATGTAGCCTTTCGACGTCGCAGTTCTTTAATACAACAAAAGTGTCCTTGACATAGCGGAGACACATTTTGGGCTTAGGGGATTACAAAACCTCACTTTCTAGTCGCTGTAGCACTAGTCCGACGAGTAGTCCTGATATTGGGAAGCCCATCGGACTTCCCCTCACCTGTTGGTAGTACTTATTGTCGAACATACTATAGTTTTTAAGGCGGAATTTGAGCAGTTCTATGACGTGCTGCGCTGGGATATCAACTGGACTGTCATATAACCGTTGGGCTACGCAGTCAATCGTCAAATCGTGCGGTACAGAAGAAAATAAGGCAACGACGTCAAAAGGCATGAGGCATTCATCAGTGCTTACGCTGAGGCTTTCGATCCGGTGGAGAAATTCGTGGGAGCTTTTAATGCTGTAGTGAGGTCCGTAAGTGACCAAATATTCCGGGTTCAAATCGCAGCATTCCAAACCTGAGGTTGAGTATAATTGGCTCCTGACAGATAATAAGTCAGAAATAGCCATTCCAGTTTCCCCTGTCTTTGCCACCAGTTCTTTCAGAACAGACTCCTCGTTGCTATATGACCTCCGACATGGGCTTTAGACTGACTCCCAAGGCATCACAGGACGGGCATATCCAGGAACCTGATCGGCGAACGTATTTCTAACATAAATACATCTATATTGGAAAACGGGCATCTCAGAAAATTTAATTTGAAATGTACATGGCCCATAAGTCTGACGTCGAGCTGGGAAGCCCTGTAATTCTCTGGGAACGTTATGCGCTAATTTAGAACAAATCAGTCGGAGTTAGGTTTTACGGGCTCAGGCCGAAATTGTGTATACATATTTGGCCGAATTGAATCAGCTTCGGAGGGATAACCAAGCGATAGTCATAGACGGCCAACAGACAGCCAGTAGTATACATACGCTGACTGATCTTACCATACCGACGGCACATTTACTAGAGCTTTAAAACCCCTCAGTGGTCAAGGAATGCTGGGCCGGACTCAAAGGCTGCTAACCTGGGTTGAGGGTGACGACGGCCAATAACCTAGAAATGGCTACCGCAGTTTCTCTTGTTTTCGTCGGCAGTCGTATCTTCGTGCATATATGTATATGTGCAAAATTTTATTACCGACAAAGACAACGGAGACTGGAATGGCCACTTCTGACTTATTACCCGTCGGCAGCCAGTCATCCTTAACCTCGAGGTGTGAAACAACTGAGGCTCGAACTCACGACCTTTTAGTTAGAAGTCCAAAGTCTCTAACCCCTGGGTCACGGGTCCGTTGTCCTGTCGGTTTCCGATCAGGAATATACAGTGGTGGAGGGGCGCCCACCGATCGTTTAGTTTGGGGAGCGTTGTGGCGGACTGATTGATTACTCGCGTACCAGTTAGGTAAATGACTTACACTGGCAGTTACTGC